TGTGTGTGTGTGTGTGTGTGTGTGTGCATGATAAAATTTAAAAAAAAATAAGTATAAATTGTGGAAATTATGGCCCTAGTATCTTTTTCGAAACTTGTTCCTTTCACGCAAGAAAAATAATTGACTGGCATGAAAATATGGCGATTTGACACAGAACAGATGAATATCAAGAGAGAAGCATATTCGGTAAATGGTTCGTGCAGAGCGTAGGCGATGTAGCGGAAACGAATTCCATTTGTAATTATGGTATTCGATCTCACACTCAAGCAAGTAAAGCACGTGAAAGTCTAGCATGTTTACATTCTTGAAGGTGGTAATGAGTTTCGAGAACGCGAGCGAATTACACTCGAAGAAATCAGTTAATTAAGTTTCGACATTTGTTTCACATGAAGAAAGAAGAAAAAATATTTCAAGTAATGTATTCAAATAATATATTATTATTCAAATATTATTGAAATATATTATTATTCAAATAATATATATTTCAAAAATAATGAATTGAATATATATTTTAAATTATTTTATTTAACCTTACAGCCTATTAAGTGCTTTTAATGTAGTTTTTTTTTAATTTCAAACTGAAGCACCACAATTTTTATAGTACTAAAATTTATTAAATTTTTATAATACTAAAATTTATTAAATTTCGTACTCAAATTTAGTACTCAATTTCGTAAAATGCAAATGCAATAAAGAAAACGTTAAGGTATTAAAGATAGATTTAAGTTTTTATGCTCTTACCTTTTTAAGCATTTCCATCTGACATCTTTCTATTCAGTTATTATTCATCTATTTTTAGAAAATCAATTACACTAGACTAGGGATCTATGTAGAACAAATTTTAAACTTGTAATTGAACACTCTCCATCTGCTGTCAGCGTGTAGGATATAGGTTCTTGTAAAAAGGTGCTACGTTATGTCTGTACGTCAATATCTTTAAAGTGAAAGTAATAAATAGATGGACAATATTATTGATGCGAATTTTTATGTTAAATTTCATAGAAAATTACGTTAAAATTTATAGGGAATTTTAAAATAAAAAATTGTATAGAACGGATGTAATATAAAAAAATATATAAAATATTCAAAGCTTTTTACAATACTTGATACATAAAATAATTTTCTATCAAAGTTATATTTTTTTAATTATATTTTCAAAAAATACGAATTTGTATAAAAACTCGCGATTTATTGAGTATATATTGAGTGATATATTTGTTCAGTTGTTACATTTACTCATTGTTAATTATATACCTACTGTTACTGTCAGAGTTCTATTTGTCATTTTCAAAGATCTTTTAGTTTCTCCAGATAAATACATTCATAATTATAATTATATTTTGTTTTTATTACTTTCTCCATAATTATATTTTGGATTAATTTGGAATATTTTATATATTTAATAAATATAGTTAATTATATTTTGTTTTTATTTCATAGTTTTTTTCATATTCTACAAGAGAAATATATTTTCCTCTATCAAAATAAATGACTTTTGTTACTATAATATCTGTACTGTAAGTATGTAATGTTAAATAATATATTTAATGTTTGAAATACAAGAAATTACTTTTTAAATAAATAAATCTAAAATCTAAATTAAATCTATTATCTAAAATATTATAATTTAGAAACAGTGTTAGACTAGGTCAGTAACAGATATACTTTTGTACT